CCACCTAGCAGACATAGCAAAATGTCCCTTATCTGATTATTCAGTTATGCTGGTTAGTAATTCCATACATGAGCCCTGGATACCCACAGATAAATGTAAAAACCTTCCCTAAAAGTTGAGACTATAAATTCCAAAAAGGTTTTCCCAAAAAAAAAAAAAAAAAAAAGCTAAAGAGGATAGAGAGAAACTCTGTTAACTGATGGTAGTGGAGGGGATTATAATCAATGTAATGAAATAAGGTATATGAATGTTTGAATATGAAACCGATGATGTGCCCTGAAAACTTTCATTCAATCCACAATAAAAACCTTAAAAAAAAAAAAAAAAAAAAAAGTTGGCAGTTGGAACCCACTCAGCAGCTTCATGAGAGATAGACCTGGTGATCTGTTTCTGTATAAAAGATTACAGTCAATGGATGATCAGAGCTCAACTAGTAAAAGAAAGAAGAAGGAAAAAAAAAGAGTAGTTTGATACAATTTGATGAACTTGACCTACACCTATGGATGCAGTAGCTCAAGAGAGGGAACAAATCTTTACAGCGAGGATCATTCCCACCCCCTCCATACACAGAGTAGACAGGGAAGGGCAACTTAGACACTGGCTACCCAAAATGGGGGGGCTACAAAGGCAAGAAGTGACTGGCTTACAAACTTTCAAGAGGGAGCCAGAAGGCGCAGAGGAAGGTAGAATCTCCACTGAGTAGTATCCAATCTGTCTGGGCGGGGCTGATGAAAGGAGATGGGGATAGGTCCCTTGTGGTACAATGGTGCATAATTGTTATCAGGACTGACTGTGAGGGTTGAAAATGTAAAGGTGGACATTTTGGAGCAAAAGGATGGGAGTGACTGACTTTGCAGTCTAGGAGCGGAAGTCTCTGGGACCATCAAGGGAAAAGAGCGGAGAGCGGGACCCTACCCAGAGAAGCATGATGCCAGAGACGGAGGCAGAGACGATGACATGGAGAGATGGAGTGGCTGGGGACTCTAGACCCAGAGACGGTGAGGAGCTATGTGCTGAAGACTGGGGGGTAGTGGGGCAGGCTTGCAGGGTATACCTTTGGTTGGTTGATGATGCATGGAGGGGATTGTAACCATGGTAATGAAACGATATACGATAGGATGAAAGTAAATCTAATGTTCTCCCATGTAAATTTATCACATAATTCACAATAAACATTAAAAAAAAAAAAAAAAATTATAGTCAAGAAAAACCTGTGGGGCAGTTCTACTGTGTCACATGAGGTTGCTATGAGTCGGAACCAATTCGACAGAACCCAACAACTATCCGAAAACCACTAAGAAAATAATACTTTCACAAATTCCCTAATCCCATCCCCTCCTAGCTTTTCAAGCCTTCAATACCTTCCTGCTTCTTTAGAAGATCTTCCTTTTCCTGATTCTCATGAACCTCAGGTGGCTTAATCTGAGTTGCCAGCTCAGGATCAATATCATGGCTGTAACTAATATAGTACATTCGACAGTTGCAGCGCGAAATGATCCGCTGAACTTGTTGCGCTTGCTGGGCTTCAGTTGGCTGGTTCCAATCTGGGAAGAGGTGGGCAAGAGATATGAAAAAGACATTTTTGTTCAACAGGGTCCCTTCCTCCATGTGGCTTTGATCAGAAGTAAGAGCCTCTCAACTAGGTGTGAAGTCTGAGGCACTCCAAAAATACTGCTTTCAACCTGCTGTTATGTACTGTCAGTACCAACTCATAGGGACTCTGTATAGGATTTCCTAGAGTGGCTGGTGGGTTTGAACTGCCAGCCTTGTGGTTAGCAGTCCAGTGTTTATCCTACAGCACCATATCAGGGTCTAACAAAAATCACAAAGTGGGCCTAACTTCAGCATCTATACTGACCTGAAACCTCATACAAAGAGTAAATACCCTCTTTGGGATACACATCTAGTCTTAATCGTATGACTGAGGAGTTAGGGGGAACTGACCTGTGGTGGTGGTAACCATGCCTCCCACTGCCTGCCCACTCTCCATCAGCTCCTGCACAGAGTCCAGACTACGCTGCCGGTGCTCCTCAATATTCTTCACCTAAAGATAGAGATGCAGGCACCTTTAGCTCCTGGGGGGAGCAGTGGACTGTCCTGGTCACAAATTCCCATGCTGCAAGTAGTTACCATAATTTTATGCAAATAACATATGCATTATACCGTTTTCCACAAACCACACACTGTATCTTAGTTTCCTATGCCTACTATGAGCATCATATGTGTGCACATTATTTACATGGACACATATGCGAAAAAATACAGTTGACTTGTTACCGAGACCCCACTGCCTGGAATAGCTTAAAGGGTCTCCTAGAAGCGAGGGTATATCTGGATATCTTGGTCCCAATGCACCCAATTTCTCCAAACCTGAGTTTATCTAAAATTCCCTGAGACCTACCCTTTGCCAGGCCAACCAGTCTTGAGTCAAAAAAAAAAAGAACAGACAAGGTTAAAAGCAAATCAAGTCATGGGCAAAATTTCATCAAAACAAATGAGTTTCCCACCCATTTTGAAACTCATTCTGTTTATATTCTTGCTGTTCTCTGTCTCTTCAGACAGATAACCACTCTGTTACTGTAGCCGTAGAAGGATGGGGCAGAATTCTTTTGACTCTGCCAAGCTAAAGTCTGAGTGTGTAACAGAATAAGTGATATGGGAGTACCCTAAGCAGTCAGATCAAGGCTTCAGGATGGCATATCTGCCAAGTCACGGAAACAATAATGTAGGAAAATCAAGATCAAAGGCCACCTAAGTCAAGCATGTTCCATTCTACTACTACTATCAAAGTCTGAGAAAAAAAAAGGGGTTCTCCTGTAAGAGAAGGCACCCATGAGAGCAGCAGAGGCCCAGAAAATGCAAGAAAGGAAGATCCCGCATGGCTAATCCTTGCCCACCTCTGCATGGGTAGTTAACATCTTCTGTGCCTATTTCTTGAGAACTCCTGAGCTAACATGCACTGTCTGCCTGAGCCATATCAGCATGACCTCTCATATTACCAACAACTTGGCTCTTACTTGGCTTGACATCTAATCTAAATACTCATTACCTCATATAATTATACTTCAGGTTGACTGGATTGAGCCTTAAGGTCCTGGCACCAGTCAGGGAGGAGGAAGAGGGATCAGCTTTACCACCACTGAGCAGAATGGTGTTATCACTTTGGTCCTTATCTGATGAAATTAGATCCAGCAACTCATTTTGGGGTGTACCATGCTCAGCACAATGTGGGCACTTAATAACTATTGAATAAGTAATGATAATGCACAATACTGACTAAGTAAATCTCACAACCATTAGATCTCCTCCTAATTCTGATGATACTATATTCTAGAAATTAGTGTGAATGTAGTTTTACCAAGAAGCTGAACAGAAAATTCACAGCCTTCCAAGGCTATAACAAGCACCTTCCCTACTTCCTACCAACTGCTTATCTATCTCACCATCTGACAAAAATCATTATCTTGCCACAAGCTTAGACCTCCCCATACATAAAGACTTAAAGATTTTCCATATGAATAAAGCTTTATGCTTTTCAAAACACTTCCTATTTGATCATCTCAATAATCCTGTGAGGTACAAGGGTCAAGAATGAACTCCACTTTATAAATAAAAGTAACCTGCTCAAGGGCATAAGGCTAGTATAATGGCAAAGCTGGCATTTGAACTGACATAACCTGATTTCTAGACAAGCAGTGTCTCTATTAAACTTTACTGCCTTGCTGAAACAACCAATCAATCATCTTCAAAAGAGAGATCAGGTAAAGGAGAGAGTTTATCTAAAATTCCCTAAGACCTACTGCCTGTTTTCTTCTAGACATGGCTGCCTTCCGATTATGTGATCAGTCATAGGGATCAGCAGTTTTTCTAGGAGTAAAAGAAGCTCCAACCCATTTTATTCTAGTATGCTAGTAAATGGGATTCTCCTTTGCAGTGAACTGGAATAGCATGAGATTAAGACAAAAAAGTACTATGTGTTCACAGACTCATTGGCTTCATCAAAGGTGTTATTAGCTTCAATATTCGGCCAAGCTGGCAGCAAAAGGCAATGTTAAAAATCTGTCAGCTACTCCGGTCCAAGGGACTAACTATGGAAAATTAGGAATACAATAGGTTTTCCCAGCCCTGCCAACTAACCTCTAACCAAAGCTGTCGGCCATCTTGCTCAGTGGGGCTGCTTTCAGTGGTGGCAAAGTACTGCATGCCATCTAACAGGCAAGTCCAAGATGTCTTTTGCTTCAGTGTGTCACCATACCAGGCTGGATGATGTTGGCACTGCAGTAGCTGGGCTTTGGCAGCTGACACAATGACACAGCCTTCTGTCTCTGCTCCACGTAGAACCATCTAAGCCAGAAATAGCAGAATCACAACATCAGGGAAAATGAAGTTTGTGAGAGATTTGCACCAGCCATTGCAAAAAAAAAAAAATTCTGATTTACTTAGTATATCTTGATGGTGGTGGTGGTGGTGGTTGTGTGCTGTTGAGTCAGTTCCGACTCAGAGTGACTTCGTGTAGGGTTTCTGAGGATGTAAATCTTTACAGGAGCAGAAAGCTTTATCTTTCTCCCATGGAGCAGAGCTCGTAGATTCAATCTACTACACTACCAGTGCTCCTTTAGTGAATCTTACTGAGTCTTAAATATGAGAGTGATTAGCCATGATTGATCAACCAGCTTCAAGGAATTTTTTTGTGGGGGTGGAAAGGGAGGTAGAGATAGAAAAGTTCTCTCCCACTCATTCTGAAAGGAATAGCGAAAAGCATCACCATAGAAAGCTTGTAAGTCCGTCTTCTGCCTATAAATGATTGGAATACCTAAAATGGGGCTACAACGTGCCCAGTGAAGGAGCCTTCCTGCGGAGCCTCTGCAATACATAAGACTATATAGGTGGAAGCCTGAACCACATCCAGATCTCCAGAGATGGGAAATTCCCACTTGAAAGGATAAGCAGACCAGCCTGGAGTGGCTAGAAGAACAGAAGGTACTTCTTGAAAGAAAGGCCTACAGGAAAAATATAAAACAACACAGGCAGACTGACTGTTACTACAAGAACAAGCAATTTGCCTGCCCAGGAAACATCAAGGCAAGTGGTGGGGTCCCCTCAGTGCAAACCCCCTTCCAAGACTAAGACTCAATGGGAATACATGCTCTGATTGGTGACCACACTCGACACCAATAAGGGGAAGTGAGCAATGAAGTGGTGAGCTAAGCCCTACAACGTTCAATAGACTTCTGTGAACCCGGATGAAAAGCTGGTTGACCGGCAGTGTGGCAAGACCTAGGGACTCTTGGGCCCAGAGTCAGTGACATAGCCACAGAGGACTAGAGTGGAGAGTGAAGCATCCAGCTGATAAGAAGAGAGGGTATATGCATAAGAACACCCACACTTGCAGATAATACCCACTTATCCTGGCTTCAGTGACTAGATGATCAGAGCTCAACCAGAAGTAAAATGAAAAGGGGAAAAAAAAAAAGTATTCTCATACAATTTGATTAACTTGACCTACACCTATGGAAGCAGTAGCTCAAAAGAGGGAACAAGTCCTTACAGCAAGAATCATTCCCACCCCCTCCACACACAGAGTAGACAGGGATGGGCAACTTGGACATTGGCTACCCAAAATGGGAGGCGGGGGGCTACAAAGGCAAGAAGTGACTGGCTTACAAGCTTTCAAGAGGGAACCTAGATCCAGAGGGCCTGGAGGAAGGTAGAATCTCCAGTGAGTAGTATCCAATCTGTCTAGGTGGGGCTGATGCAATGAAATGCAGACGGGTCTCTTGTGATACAATAGTGAATAATTGTTATCAGGACTGATTGTGAGGGTTGGAAATGTAAAGGTAGACGTTTATAGCAAGGAGGGGAGTGATTACCTTTTCAATCTAGGAGCGGAGGTCCCTAGGACCATCAAGGGAGAAGAGCAGAGAGCGGGACCCTACCCAGAGAAGCAGTGATGCCTGAAATGGAGCCAGAGATGATGACGTGGAGTGATGGAGCAGCTGGAGACTTTAGATGCAGAGAGGGAGAGTGACTGTGTGCTGAAGACCTGGGGGGTATGGGGGAAGGATTGCAGGGTATACCCTTTGGTTGGTTGATGACGCATGGAGGGGATTGTTAACCATGGCAATGAGACGATATACGATAGAATGAATGTAAAACTAATGTTCTCCCATGTAAACTATCACATAATTCACAATAAAACATTTAAGAAAAAAAGAAAGAAAAGAAAAGCTCTCTCCCACTCATTCTTTAGAGGTGGGGGAAAGGTGAACAAATATGATTATGATTCAGCCTGATACTGGGGTGCTCTGGTAAAGGGAAAAGTACCTGGCAGTTGACCAACTCAATAAGGCAGTTTCGGTTGTATATGTCATCTGTCTGGCAGGCAGCAATGCCACACAACTGGTCACTTACACCTGATTCCTCTTCTGTGAACACCACAAACCTATCTGTCTCCTCAATCAGCTTCTGCAACATGTAAGCACCTAGAAGAGAAACAGGAAGGAAAGGTGACAGTCTCAAAGAAAGAGAACAGCTTCAGGGTCAAACTGAGTTTCCTTCAATTTCTCTGGCTATGGAAGGGCTAGAGCATGTTCTTCCCAACCTGCAACCCCACCCCAACCAACCCCACTCCTTGAAGAGGATCTCTAAGAGCAAAATCAGTGTTCACATTTAATTTGCCCCCTCATTCTTAAAAATCAATATTAAAAATAACATTCCCAGCACAAAATTTAAAAAGTCTAAGTAAATGGTAGCCTTTTTAAATTAGATGTGTATAGTCACTTCTGGTTTATTCTGGCATCTTTTGTTCCCTTAAATTTTTTTTTTTTTTAATGTTTTATTGTGAATTATGTGATAGTTTACATGGGAGAACATTAGTTGTACATTCATCCTATCGTATATTGATTCCCTTTAATTTTTAATTCGTTATTATTTTACATGCCATTTGCTTGTTGATCATCCCTAGCCCTTGAAACCATTTCCTTTGCATCAGTGCCACTATATTCTTGTAGTTCTGCTGCTTCCTCTGACTGTGTCTCTAGACCAGGGATGGGGAACCACTTTTCTGCCAAAATTTACATCATTCACAGGCCATACAAAATGATCAGCCTATACGTTAGCCTTTTATAAAAGGAGCTCTGGTAGCAGAGTGGTTACCAGTCAGGCTGCTAATCTCATGGTCAGCAGTTCGAAACTATCAGCAGTTCCCCAGGAGAAAGATGAGGCTTTCTGCTCCTGTACAGATTTATAACCTCAGAAACCCTATATAGGGTCACTATGAGCAGTAGCACATAACAACCAAACAACAATATTTGGTCAAACATTTCATTAACTCACCTCTAATGTGATGGCTGGAATTGCGGTTGCCTTGGTAAGGCCAGACCAAATGATTTCAAGGGCCTTATATGGCCCTCAGGCTGGATGTTCCCCACCCCTGCCCTTGGCCCTCTCCTTCCTTCTCCCAGTTCTTAGAAATAAGTATCTCCTGAGGTCGATCCTTGGTCTCTTTCCTTACTCTCTCCTTTAATGAGTTTCCCTAACTATGGTTAAGATCACTCCCTAAAATCAGTTTGCTTGTATTCAAATCCTGTATCTGTCACTTAATTCGATGGTAATCTTGATCAGCTTGCTTTAATCTCTAAAACTCAATTTTCTCATCTGTAAATATCTCATAAGGTTGTTGTGAAAATGTAATGGAATAATATATCAAAGTATTTAGAGAGTACCTGACGTAGTAAGCAATTAGTATTATTTCAATTGTATTAACTATTAATTCTATTTTGACACTCCCAAATCTGTATCTCTAGCCCTAAGCTTCTAGACCCTCATTTCCATCTGTTAGACATTACTTAGATATCTACTAGCGTCCAAATCTGTAGAGTCCAAATCTGAACTCAACATCCCTACATTTCACCAAACCTGTTTTAATCTCCTGGCTCTATTTCTGTTATTATTGCTATCATAATGAGAGTCACCAGGCTCAAAAGCTCAGTCATTATTCTCTCTCTGAACTCCTTTCACCAGTTGCCAAAACTCCTGGAGTCTATATGCACAATAATGTCCTATCCGTCTCATCTTCATTCCCACTGCCTCTACCTAGTTCAGATCCTCATTCCCTTTGTTGAAACCACCATAATTTCCTAACTTGTCTCCCACCTCCAGTCTTCCTTTCCTCTGTCCTCCTACTCATCACTGCCAGATTTAACTCCCTAAAAGTAAGGCTCTTAATGATGACACATCCCTATTTAAAAACCTTTGGTAGGTCACCACTGCCTGCTGGATAAAGACCCAAAACTCCTTAGTTCTGTATGAGAAAGGCCTTTGAAAAAGCTACCTCCAGCTTTCCTCTCTAGCCTTTTCTTTCACTACTCTCCATTAGTGATTCTCTGGGTCAACCAAAATAAGACTGTTCACTCTCTTGAACATACACTTTTCCAACTCTACTCTTACTCAGGTTATTCTGTCTGCCCTGAATACCCTTCCTCCCCATTTCCACATATTCAAAAAATAATCAAGACTTCTAAGTCCAGCTCAAATACTACTTCCTTTAGTAAATCTGTTCCTGATGGTACACTCTTCTTTACTCCAACTGTAAATAACTCCCATAATTTTTTTATATGTCTCTTGTAGCATTTTAATCATCTAGTGAAAAGGTGACTTTTCATCTAGTTCTCAAAATCATCATAAACTTACATGCCTCTGTACCTATTTGTTACTCTCTCTTCCTTCTAAAATGCCCTTTCCTTTTTGCCTGTCGAACTCTTACTCATCTTTCTAGACTCACCTCAGAATCAACTCTGTGAAATTTTTCTGGACTTCTCTATGCTGATTTAATTACTTTCTTCTGCGAGCTCCCACAGTACCCTCGATCATTCTTCAAAGCATTTTCACAATGAAATTTATAATTTACATGTCTCTCTTCCTGAGCTCCCCTACAAGTCTAGTGACTGTAATTTATTCATCCTCGTATCCCCAATGTTTAACGTCATGTCTGCTACATTACAAGCCTTCAACAAAGCTAGAATGAATGAATGAACTATACTTAGCTCATCTAGGGACGATAAGCTGGTTGAGTCAAGAAGTAGAGTATGTTAAATTCTATACCCTCACTGGACCTAGCACAGCGCTTTGTGCCTGTTTGTTGCTGTTGCTATTAAATGCCATTGAGTCAGTTCTGACTCGTAGCAACCCTGTAGAGGGTTTGCAAAGCTTAAATACTAAGTATTGGCTGACTAATTAATTCATCAAGACATAAGATAATTCTCTAATCTTTTGCCTCTTTCCTCTATTCATCCTGTTTTAGCCCCATCCTTCCCAGTCCTCTTTTCTTGGCCACAGAGCCAGAGACTTTAATTCGCCACATTATTGCTATGACTTATTGTTGTTATTGTTAAGGGCCGTTGAGTTGGTTCCAACTCATAGCAACCTTGTATAGGGTTTCTGAGAAGCTGGCAAGTCTGAACTGCCGCCTTTGTGGTTCAAAATGACCTGTGGTCAAATACTTATCCTACAGTGCCACACCAGGACTCCATGTAAGACTTAGGTGCCCTCATGTGGAAAAGGAGCTTTGTTGCTATAGCTAGATGGAACCAGCTAGGATTTAGTGCTTTAAACTCCTGTCCCAGGCCATGCCCATGTTCTAACCCTAACCCTATGAAGTATTAGGTCCTTCAGCTGACCTCCTGATGATGCTTTATCAGACTGTCCACTGAAGCTGGGAGTGTTGACACGAGGTGGGGCTGGGACACTGGTTGGGACACCCCGCTTTGGCTTTTTGGCTGGTATCTGGGGATCAATCTTTAACCCCTTCAAGGCTTCAGTAGAGAGATTACGCTTGAGTACAGCTGCCTTTTTGTAGCCATCATACAAGCCAAAAGCAATGTCTCGATTGGTAGTTGTCCAAGAAGCCCGTAAATCCACCAGGTGCAGCTGGTGTGTGTGAAAGGCAGGATCTCCATCCCGTGTAGAGAGTTCCTAGGAAAAAAGTCAAGGGGGGCTCAAGGTAGCATGGAAACTCCCACCATTGCTCTGAAACCACAAATGTAGCGATAAGAAAACCTGTTCTGAAGTAGACAGGAAGATCCTGGAGAGCAGCTGGTAGGCTTGAACCAATAACCTTGTGGTTCACAGTCCAGTGCTTATCTTACAGAACCACCATGCTCCCCACTATATTTTAACTACACATTGTATTTTAAATGGGAGTCCCAGTATGGCACTGGATCACAAGGTAGGTTTAAACCATAAGGTCAGTGGTTCAAATTCACCAGCCACTCCTTGGAAACCCTATATAGGGTCACCGAGTCAGAACTGACTCAACGGCACTTAACAACAACAACAACAATATTTAAATGACTAAGAGAATCTCAACTTAAAATTCTTCAATAACTGAAAAATAAAGATCATCACATAAGGTACTAGGCAAAAAGTTTTACTCTATTTCCTGAAGAGACAATCTTTAGAAACAGGGAGGAATGGAATTTTCAAAGAAAGAGACACTGACACAGTCCAAGTGAGGGCATCATAAAGTAATGCCATGTATGCTCCTATTAGCTTGGAATATACTTAGAAACCTTCCCAGGGACTTAGCCTAAAATCAACTCAGGTTAATAAGGTAGAAAAAGATTGCCTCATGCAGTACCTCCTCAGCTGTAGGATTGCTGTGTCGTTGGTAGGTAAGGGAGGACAGGCTCAGCAGGTGGGTCTTTGTTATCAAGGGATCAAGGCAGTGATCAGCATTTTCTTCAGTAGGTGTGGCCATCAGGTGAACGGTCACCTGACTGAGGTCACTCACCATCTGAGTGACACTCCAATCAGAGATAAGGCGCCGCATCACTGTGCCTGCTGAGAAAAGGAGACACACAGAACCTATGCAGACCAGTACACAAAGAAAATGTGGAACAGAATGGGAGAAGAGGAGTGGAACTGAGAAACAGAAGGAGTTAGGCTAAGAGAAATGAAGGGGTGTTAAATCTTACCTTGCGGTATAAGCCTCTGAGTGCCTCGAGTGAAGACATGGCCCTGACTGCACTCAATCTGGATACCCCGTTGTTGAGCAAATGAGGCCCAATAATGCACCTAGCAGCAAGAGAGCATAATACCATATGAAAGACATGAGAGGGATGATTAAGCGATCATATATGGAATTAGAGGCTCTAGAAATGAGAGCAAAATTGAACAGCAAGAGCTAGAGCACAGACCTAGAAGAGACAAACTAAAACTAAAGACAGGAAAAAGAACTGATAATGTAAGCAGGGATATCAGAATCTGACCTGCAGCTGAGGGAAGAGTGCAGTATAGGAAAGCTGCTTGTAGTGTTGACCAAGTTTCTTCTTGCTGGGTTTCAAGTTGTTGAATAGCTTTCCCCTGCAGATAGGCCTTGTGACACTAGTCCAAGTTGCCCAAAAGTTTTGCATCCAGCGCAGAGTACTACTATATAGCAGAATTCGAGGCTGAGATAGTGCTGCAAAGAAAAGGATAAATATTCCCCCATCTGTGGGCAAGACAAAGTGGTGATGTGAAATCCTTACCTAGCTTCAGATTTTAGAGGTTTAAAAAACCCAATCAGCACCTAACTTTACAATCAGTAGCCTCAGAGTTCCCGTTTCTCAAGCTCTATGCTTTTTCCAACCCCCAAAGCCCTAGCTCAAAAAAAAAAGCTTTATCCCAAGTCCTCCCTTTCCTTTTTCTATCCCCTTCCCAGAAGACCCAGCTGAAATCTTCAAGGTCCAAGCCCATCCTCCCAGCCTCTCCCCTCCCCGTTCCCAAGCCCAAGCCTTACTCCCACTGTGCCGAGTCAGATCCATCTTGATGGAGAGATTAAGGTTCTCAGAGCGGAAGGCCCGGTAGGAGTCATGGAACTGGCCCAAGGGCACCTCAGGAAGGAACTCTGGGGCCCGAAGAGTGACTCCATGGTGATCATGGGGGTTCCCATGGCACAGCCACTGCAGGTCCAGTGTCATGCAGAGGTCAGGCAGGTGAAGGAAGCAGCAGTCGTCATACCTGCCTCACAACAGAGCCCCAGCCCTCAGTGCCCTGATCAGTTGCACCCCTCAGTTCTTCCCCTCTCCCTCCACCCCATCTGCCCCACCTCACTGAGACCCCACCCATCACTCTACTCACTTGGAGGCTGTTCTCACATTGACATCCAAGTCACCCTTGAACACAAACTGACCAGGTTTCCAATGAAAAGACAAGTGATTCCACTCCCAGTGCATATTTTCAGTTGTGTTGTATGGATCCTGTAACCATCCCAAGAACTTGGTGAAAGATGGGTAAGAAAACCACATTCATTCCCTATGTCACTACTTTTCTCTCTTCCGTCTTTCCCAATTTGTTGTACCAGGCCCCACCATACCACTGTCATATGAAACAGACGCCTCACGACCACTCACCTCAGTAGCCAGCTGGTGTAGGTTTGCCTGTTCAATGTCCATGTGCCAGTCCCCATGGAACAGAAGACGACTCTTGTCCCACCAGGGCAAGGGGGGACTGGGATCAGCTGAGGGCTTGGTCAAGAGGTCCACAGATTGGCCAATCAGTGTCCAGGCTGGATCCCAGCATGGTCCCCATACTACTGTGTACTGGAAGATTTCCGCTGGGGTAAAGGGGCAGAGGCTTCAGCTTGTTATACAACTTCACCCCTCTCGTCCTCCTTTAAACTCTAGAAGCACCTCAATTCTTCCACCCCAACCACCATAAACCCCCAGTTAAACCAGTGGCCCTCTTCTACTCACAGTGAAAATCATGGTAGAACTTGAGTGGGGGCATGTTCCTCTCCACTGCCACATTACCCCATGGAAGCCCCAAGTGTAGGATTTGACGCCGACGGGAACAAGGCTGACCACTTTGCTCAGTGCCCACAAGCCGACCCATCAGTCGCCAGTCACGGATCTCAAACAAGTACCGGGGATAGTCTCTGATCCGAACTGTTACAGGGAGGATACATATTGGCGAAACAAGGGTCTGGATCAGCATGCTCAACCTTTTTTTCCTTGCCACTCTTTTACCCAACTATTTTTACAAACTCAAAGAATAAAGGTTGGCAGTTAATGACAGCAAAGCTGGAAAAGAACACAAAGACCCTGGAGCAAAGGTGAGCAGCACAGTACTGACATCCAAGAGTCACACTAGCCCTAGAGACAACTGTGCTATTTGTCACTCTGTATTAGCCAGCCAGTTTCAGGGAGAAATTCAGGAACAAAGAAAAAGAAGAGGAAGCTACTCCAAAACAGCCACCATTTCTAATACATGAGAGGACTTCAAAAAAGTTTTGGGTTAAATCCCATTATCTTTTCATTCCATTTTATCCATGATTTTTTTTGAAGCCCCTTCGTAATGTAGATCCTCTCTTATCACTCAGAGAGCTCTTTGGAGCTCAGAAGGGCAAACACCTGGCAAATAAGGGAAGCACTACTCACCCAGAAAGTTCTTGACATTGCACTTGAGCATCCGACACCACTGAATGACAAGATCTACTCCTTCAGCAGTAAAAGGGCTCCCTGGATCAAGTTCTCGAACCTGTTCTAGTACACGCTCAGGACCATGGAAGGAAGCATCTGCCAGGGCCACCAGCTCTAATCCTGACAGGCTCCAAGTGAGCAGGGCCCTGCGCATGGGTGTATTGCCATACAGACGACGAGAACGCTGGATGTAGATTTCAATGTTTTTGCGTTCCAAAGAAGCATAGAGCTCCTCAATTTTGCGGGCTGGCAATAACTCCCCATGCTGCTTCCGGAGGGCAGCCACTTTGGCATCCAGCAGCTGCAGTCTTTTGGCACTCTCCTTGCTTTCATCCTTCATCAGTTCATAGTTGTCACGAAGTTTCACTTCAAAAATGTCATCCAGGAAGACCCATGAGAAATGCTGAACCTTCAGAAGCAGATCAGGCGGAAGTAGGGTAGGGCTTGGCGAGACCCGAGCATGAGTCCCTCGATGGAGGCCCTTCAGCCATTTCTGAACTCCCACAGCCTCATCCAGAGTTCGAGAGAAGTCATATTGATAAGGAAACTCGACTGAGACTGAGCCCAGGGAAAGGAGCCAGACACAGTTCCGGAGGGTCTGCAATGCAGGGAAGGGGTTCCGGTGGAGGATCATCTCCTCCAGCTCAGGTAACAGCTGTACCTCCAACTCCTTGAAATTGAAGATACTATTGCCATCAAAGCCAGCAGCCAGCTCTGGACAATAAGCCTGCAGAGAACCCCCATGCCGGCTCAGTGACACACTCTCTGCTGCCAGAGTAATGAACTTGTCCTCAGCCACAAATGCGGTCAGCTTGGCTGTGCTCACTTCTAGTGTCAGGTTCAGTGGCCGCTTTGGAGGGGATGGCTCAAGAGGACAGCCTTCCAGTTCAGAAGTGTTTTCTAGAGTCTCTAGTGCATGAGGTAGAACAATATCAGGGAACAGAGTGGCCCTTAACAGGTCTCGGCACTGCAGTGTGGCCAGGACATGCTGGTACAGGTACATGTGATCTGGGGGACTCCATAGTAAGGTCAGCCCTGCACCACACTGAACCTTTAGGGAGGAAGAGAAAAGCATCATTTACCATGTTCTAGAACAGTAGAGATGTCAGGGGTTAACAAACATGCATGTTTGGCTTAAAAAGACTTTCCTAAGTAACCAAAGGAATCCTGGTATGGTGCTGTGGATTAATGTGCCAGACTGCAAAGCCATTTGAACCGTAAGGTCAGTGGTTCAAGCTCACCAGCTGCTCCTCGGAAACCCTATACAGGGTTGTTATGGGTTGGAACCGACTCAACGACACTTAATAGCAAGAAAGTAACCAAAACAACTCTCTTGTTTTATTCCCTTTAGCATTAATATGCTGACCTAATAGTTCTATAATCTTATACTTAAAAACACTTTTAAGTTACCCTCAACTAGGTTCTATATTATCTGAGAGAAAGGGCTATGTGTTCTAATTCTTTAGGATCGAATCATTTGATTTTACTGATTCCGCTCATGAGTTCTCTTTCCACATTCCCCACACTGCTGTAACCACTGCAATAATCAATTCGAAAACAGTGCGTGCAAAGATTGCATTCTGACTGAATTCTTAAAAGGTAGTACAAAAATACTGATCACATAAGTCAATAAGCACTTGACTTATATGCAAGTATGCTTCAAGGAAAGGAATAAAGTCCTTGTCAGCTTGAAAAATAGTCAGTTCCAAACAGTTAAGTGGATGGAACAAATTAAAATTCTAGAAAACTATTCAGTTTCCAAAGGAAGTGAACAAACAGGAAGATGCTCCATCCTCCTTCTAACAGGGCACCATATCCATCTGATACCCTGATGAGTATTCCTCAACTTTCCTATCCTTTCCAGCCCTTTAATCAACTGAGTGCTTCATCAAAATGCTATCTTAGTGATGGTGATTAAACATGATGAGTATAATTAAAGTCAGAGAACTGTACATGTGAAGACTGCAGAAATGGCAAATGTACATTTGTATACTATATACTAAATGTATCTATTACGTATACTACTATAGTGCCGTCAAGTTGGTTCCAACTCATATTGATCCTGTATAGGAGTTTCCGAGGAGCAACTGGTGAATTTGAACCACTGATCTTGTGTTCAAACTGACCTTGTGGCCCTGCGCTTATCCTACAGCACCACACCAGGAATCTATTACCTATGTATTTACCACAAAAAAATAAAATAGAGTCATTTTATTTTTTTAAAAAAGATACCCAGCTATAAGAGGAAAAAAATGTATTCTGATTCAATTTGATGAACTTGACCTACACCTATGGAAGCAGTAGGTCAAAAGAGGGGACAAATCCTTACAACAAGAATCATTCCCACCCCCTCCACAGAGAGTAGACAGGGATGGGCAACTTGGACATTGGCTACCCAAAATGCGGGGGAGGGCCTACAAAGACAAGAAGTGACTGGCTTATAAGCTTTCAAGAGGGAACCTAGATCCAGTGGGCCTGGAGGAAGGTAGAATCTCCAGTGAGTAGTATCCAATCTGTCTAGGCGGGGCTGATGAAATGAAATGCAGATGGGTCTCTTGTGATACAATAGTGAATAATTGTTATCAGGACTGATTGTGAGGGTTGGAAATGTAAAGGTAGATGTTTCATAGCAAGGAGGGGAGTGATTAACTTTCCAGTCTAGGAGTGGAGGTCCCTAGGATCATCAACAGAGAAGAGCGGAGAGTGGGACCCTACCAGAGAATCACTGATGCCTGAAATGGAGGCAGAGACGATGATGTGCAGAGACAGAGCAGCTGGGGACTTTAGATCCAGAGAGGGAGAGGGGCTGTGTGCTGAATACCGGGGGGATGTGGGGGGCATACCCTTTGGTTGGTTGATGATGCATAGAGGGGATTGTAACCATGGCAATGAGATGATATATGATAGAATGAATGTAAAACTAATGTTCTCCCATGTAAACGAACACATTAATTCACAATAAAACATTAAAAAAAAAGATACCCAGCTATAATTTTTTTCTTAAGAGACATTTTTTTTCCAGAGTTACTTATTGAAATATTTACATTATATCTGGTACCTGCTTTAAAATAATTAATTTTGGAACCAGGGTGGAAGAGATTAGTGGGAATAGAGTTGAAACAAATCGGTCATGAGTAGGTAATGATTGAAGTTGACGATGCATGCATGAAAGTTCACAGAGCCTCCCTAGTTTTGCATGTATTTAAAATTTCATAATAAATTAAAAACGTCTAGAACAAGCCAGAAAAAAAAGAAATCCACATTTCTCATGATGAGATTCATACGACTCAAAGGAATGATAAATGCTCTAAACCTCAGGAAAAAGCAATCTGTCCCCAGCCTCCCCATTGAAGTGGTACCTCTAGAGAGCGGATGCTGCTGTGATAAGTGATGGAGAGCATGGAGAGGCTGAGCACTGGAGTCGGGATGTCGGGAGCCTTGCAACAGGGCTGCATCTTCTCTGTGATCGACTTCACCAGGGCAAGCACAAGTCCTTGAATACCCACAGTGGAGGTCTCAGCACTGCCCAGAACAGTCAGGGTGTCTAGTCTGACTTCTGAAGCACCTAGCATCCAGAAACCATGTCAGTCTGGGTTTCAACTCTCAAATGGCAACCGAAGAAGTCCTCATTCTCCTTTCTTATCTAGTCATTTATTCACTCCAGTTATGTATTCCCCACACCTCCTTAAACTCATTCCTTATGTTTTAGGGAAACTTTTCCTTTCCTATCTTAATCTAACTAAATCTGGCAAAGTTAGAGAAGTTCTCTAACTTCTACAAATTGCTCAGAGACACATTAGTTACTCTGTAGAACTAAACACACAAAAAAATTAATGAAAAACTACATGGGTCTCACTCTGACATCCACCCACCCTGACATCCATAATTACATTATGGCTAAATATTTGTTCTATATATATCTTGCTTACTGTCTTGCCTTTCATAAACCCTTAAAGAATACCAAGAAGTCTATAGTTATAAGACTCCCAGCAGCTCAGGTCTCTAATTTAGAAAAATCTCAGATAATCAGCTTCACAACGTGAGACGGTACAGACGGAATCAGCATAAACTGCCCAGGTTACAAAACACTCACGTTAGTACAGTTTCTGTCCCACTTACCAACCAGGGCACAAAGGGTGAACAAATTCATGTCCTCCACCTTTAAGTCCACCTTCCAGAGTAATGACATAGATTCCCCAGATGAAGACTCCCTAGAAATAGCTGGATTCTGAGATTGTAGGCCCATCAAGGGTAAAATCCGAGAGACACACTGGACACAGGTATCTGATGCCTCCACTTGCAATCCTCGGATGGTGCAATCAAGAAAAAGTGTATCTGACTGGGTGCTGGACAGGCCCAGAGGCTGATTATAGCTACCCTAGAAAATAAGTGGTGACTCCATTAGCAGCACGCAGGTGCACATTTCAGTAAATTCCTGATAAAAACGTAAACATCTGTTCTCACTCACAATAAAAAAAAATTTTTTTAAACACAAAAAACTTACCCATCCCCTGCTGCCAACAAAGTGCCCAGTGCTCTGAATAAAGAATGGCAAGGTGAAGAAACTGTTCACCTACCTGTAGTGTGAAGGAGTCTAAGACAAGTGCTTCACCCCAAACATGCATATTGGGTGGGTGGGGTGCCCGCTGAATGTGAGAGTCACTGCCCACACGCCAGCAGAGGTGGTCCACAGTTAGGACGCCCCGCTGATGGATACTCTGGGGCCTCAGGTGCTGATAATCTGAACAAAGATGGTTGGAAAGAGAGTGCGTGGAGTCACTGTGACCACCCATCGGGCTTAGCTCTGCTAGTGGACACATTCTATTTCTTTTCCATCCCAAAGTCTTACCCAGAGAGATGGAATTGAAGCCCAAGGCAAAAGGCGGTGTATCTCCAAGCTGAATGGAAATGATGACATTAGAGATAGAGGTGCTAAAGATGATGGGTGCCAGGATTTGAGGAAAGGTTCTGTATGGGAAAAACACGACTGTTTCATTAGCAAAGAACTACAGCGTCCTATCAAGGAAGAGCTTCCTGAATCTGTCAAAACTCAGGGTAAAAATTCAGTTTTGTTATGATTCTTAGGATGGGAAGTGCCATCGAGTCGCTATGAATCGGTATCAACTCAATGGCATTTAACAACAACAACAACATCAGCTTGCTGCTACTCCCAATGGTAATCTGTAGGAACTCAGAAAGATACCAGACTGAGTCATATGAAATTGCCATTATCATTCGTCAAAAATGGTTGAACATTGGCAATATTGTATGGTTCAACCTAATACAACTAGGAAGCGTTACAAGTTCTATATAGGGAATATGGCCCTGTTGACCTGATGCTGCCACCTTACAATCTAAGGCAGATAAGATTTTTAAAATTTTTGCTCAGTTCAACAAATGTTTATTTGTGTGTAATACTCTGCTGTACTGCACATGAAGTCAAAAAAAGGAAGACAACATCATTTTGCCATCAAGGAGTCTAGTCTAATGGGAAAGTATATAAAATACGATTGCTATTGAAAATGGAATGTAAGGAAATCAATCAAATACATTTAACATAAGATGCCACTTTGGAGATTCACCTGGCTGAAAAGATTATACTAACCTTTTTTTCTTTTGCTTAAGAACAGGTGAACTAGACCCTTGGGTCTCTAGTGCTAGCATGTTCAGCCAGTGAGAGAACTCCTGGTGACGGTAGTGAATGATACACGTGTTCAAAACCAAGGAAGCTGAAAGATCAATGGTAGTCACCTGAAATAAGAAAAACAGAACTGTGGGTTTGGGTTTTACTTCATTAATTCACAATGAAATGTAATGACGTAGGGAAAGGGCAAAGAAATAATGCCTGGGACCATAGTCACCACACCTGCACACTAGCCTTGAGGGAGTTGAGGCAGACAATGCGCTGGCGACTTTGGGACAGCAACAACCCATCTGCAAGAGGTCAGAGGGCAGGTCAGAAAATACTGGAAGGTCAAAAGGAAAAACTAGGAGATGATCAGAGGCAGGTCAGGAGATGAACAGACCATCACTAACATTTGTGATTTACAGCTATTTTCTCTCAATATATTCCCTTCTCCCCCTCTCCAGTTACACTGATAATAAATTAAGAAGACCATCTGGGGCACGGGGGAGGAGAATTTCTGGTCCTCTCTTTCTCCCTCAGTACCAGTATCCCCACCCATGAACCTTCCAGCAAGAGTTCAATGCTCATCTGTGCCATATCAGAGTTTGCTGTAAAGCTTCGAAGGGGCAGCTGATCTTCATCACGATTGTAAAGAAAATGCAGCAGCTTCAGTGTCCAATTCAGGTGCCTGGACCAGAGATAGACTTGGGCTTAGAATGGTGTGGACTGCTATTCTATCCAAAGAGGCTTCCTACTCCTTTTCTCCCCAGAGATAAGTCCAGTGCAACAACGAAGTTGGTTACGGAGACCCCAGTATACAGTTCCCACAACAACTCTCCACATTTCTATGTAAGGAGAAATCTCACCTCTTTTGACTATTCATGGACAACACCACACTGATGCCTTCCATCTTCACCTTGACCTGCTCTGGCAGCTGCTGGAGGAGATATAGACCTGGCAGAGTTGGCTCTGCCAAGTTTTCTGCCACCTCTGAAAAGGTGAATAACATGAGAGCCATCAATCCTTAACAATCTCAAGTCTCCCAAAATGCCCTGCTTTCTTTGGCCAAATACAATCACACATAGCAGGCTAAGAAAATGTCCAAGGGTAGGTCACAAGTCAAATATCCCAGACATGTAGGCACCTACTGTCCTCTCCCCTTAGACTCTAAAAATATAATATAGGGAGGCAGGTTGGCATAATGAAAAGAATATGGACTTTAGGGCTAAACAATTCAAACTCCATTTACTACCGACTTGTGTGACACGTCAAGGCAAATTACTTATCTAACCCTCCTAGGCTTCCATCTCCTCACTGGTGAAATGCTGAAGATTTAGCAAGAGAACATATATAAAACACAGTTAGAGTGCCATCGAGTTAGTTCCAACTCATAGCAACCCTGCAAAGGGTTTCCAAGGAGCGGCTGGTGGATTTGAACCATCAACCTTCAGTTATCAATCCAGTGCTTATCCTACAGCACCACACCAGGAGTCCATAACACATAGTACAGCACCCAATTCATGATAGGTACTGACTAAATGTTAGTTCCTTTACTCTCCACAAGCAAATGCCCTATTTCCTCTAGTTACTCTCAGGGTCACAGGCCACAGTTACCAACAACTCACACCAAAATGAGCAGCGAGACCATTATTTTTCTATGCTCCCAAAATAAACCCTGAAACAGAGCTCACTGATTGGAGCTTTACCTGGACAAGGGGCAGGCTTGAGTGCCAGGCTTGATCCCTGGTGTAGCAGCTGACTATGGAAGAGGCCCTCATGCAATTCAGCATGGTGTGTCCACACACCCACAGTAATAGCCTTCAGTTGCCGACTGCTGATGCCTACCTCTAGACACAGGTTCAGGGTCAGAGAGAGTTCCGCTAGGCAGGTGTCCTCCTGGAGGGAAAATAAGGCTCTAAGGTGTGTGTGTATTAGGTCAAAATGTGGTTTGAAACATTAGGCACTGCCTAATTACAGGGAACCCTGTAATGATACTGAACTTTGGATGTAAGCCTTAAGCGCCTTTATACCTTATGCTCAGAAGGGAACGAGGCATCTGAATGACCACGGCATACTCACCAACTGGCCACTCTTTAGAACTTTGCTGTTGATCTTATTTAGGCTCATCTTACAGTCTAGCCTGGGAAAGGAAAAAGATTAGAGCACTTGTTTCCTTTCCTAACCAGTTACCTCTAATCAAGCTCTGCTGACTGGAAGGAACAAGGCAAGAGGAAGTGCCTAAGCTTAGCTTCTTCTCAAATTCCACAGAAGGACAACTTGACACCTTGAAAAGGAAGCCCTGACATCCACCCATCCTGAAATAGCCCTAAAGCCAGAATTTACCAATTGCTTACCTCTTCCCATCACTATCCAAAAGAAGGCTGCTCCCACTGATTTGAATATGCCACAAGGACTCAGAGGTAGCCACTTTGAGAACCATGATGTTTATAGTCTCTACATGAATGGAGAATAGCTGAAGAAAGAAGCAAATATGAACATGAATAAATATCAGGGCACCATTTTACTTTCCAGCTAAGGAGTGAAAAGTGAGAGGCAGCTCTCACCTACGCCCCCAAATTAGTGGAAAAAAATCCATTCACAAACTGGCCAGTTTTTACAGTCCAACAAGCCTTTGTAACAGTCCAGAAAAATGGAACAAGTCTCACCTGGCAGAAAATCTTCAGTAAGGATGGGCTGAGAGGCAGCTCCTTTTGGTCCACCCCAGTGCTCTGGGAGAATGGAGCAGATAGCCCAGAAACCCTCTGTAGGTCAGTTCTGATCCGCACTTCCCCAAAGCACAATGCCACATAGTGTCTGTCCAGGAGAGAGACCTCACTGCCACCAGATCCATCCCTTCCAGAGCAGTTGCCTCTCTCACATTCATTCTCCCATCCTCCCTGGAAATACAGCTCAAATCACAGAGGAGAGTCTCACAGCAGTTGCCAGTATCTATTTCACCACTCTTATTATCACCAGGCTATTAAGGAGATTTCAGCAAAAGGCTTCTATAGAAGAATCCCATTCTGTAAACCCTAACTCTAAAATATTCCCCAAAAAGGTACTGAGGACATAGGGTACTCACGGCAGGTCATGGCTAAAAAGTTTGCTGGAAATCCGCAGGCTATCAATTTCCTAAAATAATGTGAAAGAAGGCTTAATACACTAGCTGCTAGGTAAGCCTGGACCATTTTGACAAGCTAGGAAAGGCTCTGCGTCACAGAAGAAGAGGAAGTAGCACAATTCTTTCCACAAAATACACCCCATTCCATTTCTACCAGCGTCTCTTCTCAACACACAGCTATCTTGCTCCTCAAAAAAACATCAGTTAAGTTTGTTGTTGTTGTTGTTGTTAAGTACCATTGAGTCAGTTACAACTCATAGTGACCCTTACAGGGTTTCCAAGACTTTAAATCTTTGCAGGAGCAGAAAGCCCCATCTGTCTCCCATGGAGCAGCTGGTGGGCTTGAACAGTCAACTTGTGTTTCACAATCCAGTGCTTACCCTACAGAACCACTGTACTCCCCTTAGTTGAGATTTGTGTTTTTCTTTTATGAAAAATGTGTTTTTATGTTTCGCCTCTTAAATTTGAAGAGTAAGCTATCCTATTTCCTGTTATCTTTCTTTTGTGCTTCTCTTCTGCATCTTTCTCATGTGTGCTGGACATTCTGTGCCCTATAAGCATTTCTAACTGACCAGCTAACATCAATCCCTTGTTCCCATACTATCTCTAAGATCCCTTGGACAAACAAATGGCAAGGCCACAGTTAACTAGGAAAAGCCCCAGGATTTTTTTTTTTTTTAAAGGAAATTACAAGTTGAAATTCAGCTGGATCAACACCAGACACACACCCAGGGAGTTCTCAGAACTTACCACAGTTTGCTGGTGCTGCAAAAATTTAAGACTGACATTCTGGATCTCAAAAAAGCCAAAGGAGCCAATTTTCAGCTCCACCTGCAGCTTCCGCTGACACCACTTGGTGGCCAAGCGGACCACAAGCAACCTGCAGAAAAATCTGTGAGTTATATAGAGCCTTCTCCTAATGAGGGCTTCCCACAACCCTAGCTGGTCCTAGAAGACCTTGCAAAGGGTCATGTCCTGAAGCTGGATATTCTGGGCAACTCTGCTGTCACCCAGAACTCCACTCTGCCCGACACATCCGTCACTCCTCACACCCGAGTGACCCCCTCCACCTAGATGAAACCAAAGTGAATTGGAGGTGAAGAAAGCAATCCCTCCGAACCTTAGAAGCTCAGAGAGAGAGTGAGAAGAGCGCCCAACACGGATCAAAACAGGCATTCTGGCCCGATGTGTCAGACAGACCCTCACACACTCCCCAGACAGGTGGTCGCAGGAAGGTCTGTATGGTCAGAGCCCGCCGCCGGATCTCCGCTCTCTGAGCCTTCAGAGTGTGGAAGAAGGGGACCCCCCCCCGGGAACCCCCCCTCGCCGAGATCCCTCCTCACAAACACCTCTTCAGGTCCTAGCTCAACATCTCCTCAGGCCCCGCCCGCCCCCTCAGTCACCTCCACTGCCAACCATTCGCCAGCAGCCCGGCCTCGCGCCCCCGCCCGTCCCTCTCCTCGTCACAAATCGCCTCTGGGGTCTCTCTCCTCGATTCCCCCGCACCGTCCCCATCAGCCCCCACCGCTCCCGCGCGTCTCTTTCCAGTGAGCGCCCCCTCCTCAGTCTCTCCCCTCCTCCTTCCCCCTCCGCCTTGGTGGGAGCTCCTTACCGGCCTAGAATGAGGGCGCCAAGTGCAACCAGCAGCAAGGTCAACAGTGCCAAGAAGAACACAAGCATTTCGGCCCCTGCCCGGCCAGGCCAGGCTCCGGCCCCCACCCTGCCGGCCCCCCCACCCCCCCCCAAGCCGGCTCAGCTCAGCGCCGCCGCGGGCCGACCAGCCGCACGCGCAGCGTCAGCGCCTTGCGAGGAGGTGTCGGCGCGCGCACGCCCCGCCCCCCGCAGCCAGCCAGCCAGCTGTCTCCCTCCCCCGCCCAGCCCGGCGCCGCGATCGCTGAGGGCCGACCGGCTGTGTGCACGAAGTGAAGGAGTGGCTCTAAGAGGCGGGCGGAGGCGAGCAGACCACAAACCGAGATGCTGTGTATTGTGGTTCTTCGGACTGACAGTCCTGCACTCGCGGGGACGCGGAGCCGGAGCTTGCTCTTTGCGCAGAAGATGAATCCGGCTGGCTCATTTCGGCCACGGAGAGTTCCACTACAAAGCACATTCACTTGCCGGAAATTACAAGGCTTGGATTAAATTAGAGTTTGTAGACTGAGGAGGCCGCGGAAGTTAATACATAAATAACCCAGGGTCATCTCACTCTGAGGCTCTGTCTGAAAAGTACTGAGGAGGAAACTTAAAGGTAATGAAAAGACTTCAAAACTCCCATCTCATTCCATTCACAAAGGAAACCCATGAGTTTTAAAAATTCAACTAGAATGGTACTGGTCATTTAATATGGATTGACCTACCGTGGAATACAAGAGTAACAACGATTGTGAGGATGGCACAGGCCTAGGCAGTGTTTCTTATTCTATTCTGCTATGAGTCGAGCCAATTCCACGGCACCTACCAGCAACGTTGTGTAAGGAGTACCTGGGTGACGAAAATTGTTAAGTTCTGCACTACTTACTGAAAAGTTTGAAGGTTAAACTCACCCAGAGGCATCACGAGAGACAGGTCTGGCAATCAGCTTCTGAAAGGTCACAACCTTGAAAACCCTATTTTGCGCACAAGGTGGACATGAGTTGGAATCTGCTCCACAGCAACTAACATGTATATGAAGAACTGGGCGTGGGGCAGGGTATGCTGCAGAAATAGAATACTTGCTCTTCAGCAACAAATCTGTGAAGTAAGCAGCTACATGAAATCAACTGTGAAGTTGACAATTACATGGTCAACTTTATTTTGCCTGTTTCTTTCTAGTAAGGTGAGAAAATTGGGAAAAGGTCCTTTCTATGATATTTTGCATCAATATCTGAGTGAGAATCTACTAATAAGGTACAAGCTAAAGAAATCCTGAGGGTTTAAAAATAAGTACCATGGAGTCCCTTTTGCTCTCGCATATTCTAATCATAAGTACTCTTCAATAATTTTTCAGTCTCTTTTCAGCTCATTTCAATTTTTACCTGTGTGTTCCCCAAAGTTGTTTTTTCCCCTCCAACTGGTTTCCCTGTCAAGTCTTACCTGTCATTTCACATCGTCCCAAGAGCTACACCAATTGGCTGTTTCAAGGTCAAACTTGTCTTTCAAGCATATTTCTGTGTTATCTGCACCCTTCCAGCAGGGAACAGTTGTTGTTGTTAAGTGTTGGTTCTGACCCATAGCAACCCTATCTATATAGGGTTTCCGAGGAGCAGCTGGTGAGCTTGAACCACCGACCTTGCAATTCAAACGGCTTTGCAGTCTGGAGCATTAACCCACAGCGCCACACCAGGACTCAGCAGGGAATAGTAAATCCCCACAATTCAATGAAAACTTCTGTCCAAGTCAAGGAAGGGTCCCTTACAACACACCTCCCTACTGTCATTTGTCTTTCCAATCTGCTTTCTGTATTCAGCTAAGATTCCTATCGCTTCTTTACTTCCCTCCAGACCATTACCACCCTTCTTACTCCCATTTTATAGCCTGAAGTGTTGATGTTATATACTTTCTGAAGAGATGTCAAGGGATCAATGCAACTGAAATGGGATAAACAGGCAGAAAAAAATGGTGCTCAAGTACTTGTTGGCCTCAAGTTATGATCACAAGTCCCTAGGTAAGAGACATCTTTTCATGTACAATTGTTCCAACTCATAGGACTTTGTATATGGTTTCCAAAAAGCGACTGGTGAGTTTGAACCTTGCGACTCAAACCAACCTTGCAACCCCATGCATTATCCCACAACACCACACCAGGACTGCAATGCACAATTGTTAAGTGCCATAGAGTTTCCAACACATAGCAACCCTGTATAGGGTTTCCAAGGAGTAGCTGGTGAATTTAACAAACCAACCTTGTGGTCCGGTTCTTTATCCCACAGCACCATACCAGGACTCTCCAGTGCACAGTTGGTATCCCCAAATTCTGTTACTCCTTAATGCAAACAAACAAAAGTAGAAGTTTGCTATTTACTGAAATTCCAGTAGATGGCAGGCACCTCTGTTCACCTCTATCAAGTTTGAAGACTATTAGGAGCAAACTTTACAAAACCGACCTGGAGGAAAGGTGGAAGTGAGAATATTTTCTACTTATATTTTTCCTAACTTTTTATTGTGAATTAAGTGAAGGTTTACAGACAAGATCGTCAGTTTTACATTTAACAAATCTCTGCTAATCTTTTCACAGATAACCATTGTTTTTGTTAGGTGTGCTTGTGCTCGAGTGGGTTCAACTCATAGGGGCCCTATGCACAACAGAATGAAACTTTGCCTGGTCCTGCGCCATCCTCACAATTATTGTTATGTTTGAACCCATTGTTGTTGCCACTGTATTAATGCATCTTGTTGGGGGTCTTCCTCTTTTCACTGACCCTTCACTTTTGCAAGTATAATGTCCTTGTCCAGGGACTGGTCCCTCCTGATGATATATCCAAAGTATGAGACAAAGTCTTGCCATCCTCATTCTAAGGAACAAATTCTGGCTATACTTTTTCTAAGACCAATCTGTTTACTCTTCTGGCAGTCCATGGCACTTTCAATATTTTCCTCCAACAACATAACTCAAATGCATCATTCTTCTATGGTCTTCCTTATTCACTGCCCAACTGACTTGGGTCAGGTGCACCTTAGTCCTCAAACTGGTATCTTTGCTCTTAAACACTTTAAAGAGGTCTTGTCTACCAGATATGTCAAATGCAATGTGTCACTTGATTTTTTGACTGCTGCTTCCATGAGTGTTGATGGTGGATTCGAGCAAAATGAAGTCTTTCACAACTTCAATCCTCTCTTCATTTATATGGATGTTGCTTATTGGGCCAGTGGTAAGGATTTTTGTTTCCTTTACATTAAGATGCAACACATACAGAAGGCTGTGGTCTTTGCTCTTCATCAGTACGTATTTTAAGTCCTTTTCGCTTTCAGCAAGAAAGGTTGTAACATCTGCATATAGCAGGTTGTTAATGAGTCTTCCTCCAATTCTGATGTCACATTTTTCTTCATATACTTATTTGTTCAGTATACTGATTGAATAAGTTTGGTGAAAGAATACAACCCTGGTGCACACCTTTCCAGATTAATTTTAAACCATTCAGTGTTCCCTTGTTCTGTTTGAACTTGGTCTACGTACTGGTTTTTCGTGAGTACAATTAAGTGTTCTGGAATACTCATTCTCTGCAATGCTGTCCATAGGTTGTCATGATCCACACAATCGTAAGCCTTTGCATAGTCAATAAAGCATAGGTAAACATCTTTCTGGTATTCTTTGCTTTCAGCCAAGATCCATCTGATGCCAGCAATTATATCCCCCATTCCACGTCCTCTTTTAAATCCGGCTTGAACCTCTGGAAATTCTATGTCAATGTATGGCTGCAGCCAGTTTTGAATTATTTTTAGCATAATTTTGCTAGCATGGAATACTAATGATATTGTCAGATGATTTCCACATTCTGTTGGGTCACCTTTCTTTGGAATGGACATGAATACGGATCTCTTCCAGTCAGCTGACCAGGTCTTCAAAATTTCTTGGCATAGATGAATGAGTGCCTCCAGTGCTGCATCAGTTTGTTGAAAGATTTCAATTTGTATTCCATCAATTCCCGGAGCCTTATTCTTTGCCTATACCTTCAAATGCACCTTGGACTTCTTCCTTCAGGATCATTGGCTCTTGATCATATGCTACCTCCTGAAATGGGTAAACATTGACCATTTCCTTTTGGTACAATGAGTCTGTGTATTCCTCCCATCTTCTTTTGATGCTTTCTGCATCATTCAATATTTTACCCAGGTTGTTGCTGATTGCTGTCAAGTCCATCCCGACCCATAGCGACCCCTGTACAGGGTTTCCGAGGAGCGGCTGGTGAGTTTAAACTGCTGACTTTTAGGTTCAAACAGAACTTGTGGTACAGTGCATTATCCCACAACGCCACACCACAACTCCATTTTGCCCACGGACTCCTTCAATACCACAAGTCGAGGCTTGCATTTTTCTTCACTTCTCTCAGCTTGAGAAATGCTGAGCGTGTTCTTACCTTTTGGTTTTCGAACCCAAGGTCTTTGCACATTTTGTCACAGTATTTGACTTTGTCTTTGCGAGCTGGCATTTGAAATTTTCTGTTCGGCTCTTTAACCTCCTAACTTCTTCCATTTGCTTTGGCATCTCTACAAAGGAGAGCAAGTTTCAGAGTCTCTTATGACATGCATTTTGGTCTTTTCCTTCTTTATTGTCTTCTTAATGACCTTTTGCTTTTTTTCCTATGTGATGTCATGCCATGACTCTTTTGTTCTTCCAGCTTTAGTGTCAACTGCATCAAATCTGTTCTTCAGATAATGTCTAAATTCAGATGGAATATTCAAGGTCATATTTTGGCTCTCAAGGACTTGTTTTAATTTTCTTCAGCTTCAGCCTGAACTTGCACAAGAACAGTTGATGGTCTGTCCCACAGTCTGCCCTTGGCCTTACTTTGGCTGATGATACGGAGCTTTTCCACCGTCTTTCCACAGATGGAGTCACTTTGATTTGTATGTATTCTGTCTGGTAAGGTCCATGTGTATAAAGTCATCTTTTATGTTGTTTAGAAAAGGTATTCACAATTAAATCATTGGTCTTGCAAAATTCTATCATGTATTGTCCAGCATTTTCTATCACCAAGGCCACATTTTCCAACTATTGATCTTCCCTCTGTTTCCAAACTTTTCATCGTAATTGCCAGTAATTATCAATATACCTTAATTGCATGTTTGATGAATTTTAGACTGAAGAACTTGATAAATTCTTCAATTTCATCCTCACTGGCTTTAGTGATTGGTGTGTAAATTTAAATTAATGATAAAAATAAAAACCTTTTAGCTTGTCCAAAATAGAGTTTTCAAAGAGTTAAACACAATTATTGTATATAAAAAGAATTATGTAGATCACTGTGGCTCTGTAGGATAAGCTCTGGGATGCTAACCACAAGGTTGCGGTTTGAGCCCACCAGCTATTCCTCAGAAAAAAAGATGAGGCTTTCTGCTTCTGTAAAGATGTACAGCCTCAGAAACCCTAGACAGGGTCACTATGAGTCAGAACTGACTCAATGGCACTTAACAATGAAAAAAACATGAGTCAAGACCAGCTAAATTCCTACCCAAAATTTACTAGCTTTAATTCAGTTAGTTAACTTTTCTGTTTCTTATTGGTAAAACCCTAACATCTACCTCCTATTTGTATGAAAACCAAATGAAATAAGATCTATAAAATGGTGCCTACTAATTAGTGAATAAATAAATGTTAGTTCCTCTTTCTATCCTCTGCTTCTTCCCATCTCAGTAACAGAACCAGTGTTTACCATTTTATTAGTTCTTTATTAAGCTGTATTACTTGAGAGTGCTGTAGGATAAGTGACTGCTAACCACAAAGTCAGCAGCTCAAACACAATAGTCACTCCTTGGAAACCCTATACAGATAGGGTTATTATGAGTTGGAACAGACTTGACGGCATTTAACAACAAGAACCAAAGTCATAATTAGTCAAAAATTTAATAAAAATGAGGTACCTGGGGCAAGAGTAAAAGTAGAAAGACAAAAAATGTGCATATAAATAAAGCTCTCAAAAGTGCCCACATGGAAGGTTCTTAGCATCTGGAAAGAGTGATAGCAATCTTAGGACTAGAAGATTATGCAGATCATAAAATGTTCAGTGTCATCAAACTGATTTGAATTCATAGCAACTTCATGTGACAAAATAAACTGCCCCATAGGGTTTTCTAGGCTGAAATTTTTATAGGAAATCACCCGGTCCTTCTCCTATGGTTAGCTGCCTAACAATTAACCATTGCACCACCACCAAGATTCCTGAATCATGAAATGGCATATCTAGTAAAGGACAACACAGTGGCCAACAATGAAATTCATTTTTTATCATTTTAGACATAGCAAATAGAGGAAAAGTCACACACATTAACAATCCATCATGCCAAGCTCCTGAAGAGTAAAAAATTACGAGCAGGAACGGATGTCCCCCTCAGTTTGTTTTGCCAATATGAATAAAAAGCATCTACCCCTTTTACCAGCAAGTCATGTACTCAGAAAGAATTGGCCCAAGTCTGGTAGAATAACCAATTTCAGTGTGAAGGGCTGATGCTTCTAAAAACAACCAGTTTTCTGTCATGTATCTTCTTCTCATGGTGATGCGACCATGGCCCAGTGGGCCTGTGGCAGGGATCCCAGGGAGAAGCAGCAGCAGAGGTCTATGAACACTGGGTGGTGAAAGTGCATCAGTGCCTTCAGACTCAGAGTTCTGCGTGGTGTGCCTCTGTCTTCAGCAACTCACTGGGCTTCATGAATATGCCTTCCATGGTTTTCCAGTAGTTGTTCTGGCTCGGCTGGGACATGCCATGTACCTCTTTCTGCCCACTGATGGGTCGACCATACTGTTCTCCAGTGACAGAGAGTAGTACCTCGGTGGACGAGTGTTTGAACCGCACTTCACCATCCCTTACCCAGTAAGGTCCATTACAGAGAACTGTCCAGTCATCCAGATAATCACCTTCACCTTCTTCACCAAAAGCACTAACTTCCTAGAAGACAGAAGTGACAGTATTAGCATGAGCTGACACAGAGGCCTAGAAAAGGGACACTGGGAAGAAAACGAAGTTTGCGCCAAAAGAGAAAAATGAGAGCTTTTCCAGTGTTGCTTAAAAATAACCACACAAAAGGCTGTAGAGGTTAGGACCACAGTCTCAAGGGACATCTAGATCAACTGGTATAACATACTCCATAAAGACAAAGTCCTACATCCTACTTTGGTGAATAGTAACTGATGTTTTAAAAGCTTGCAAGCATCCATCTAAGATGTAATAATGGTCTCTTCTTGTCTGAAGCAAAGAAGAGTGAAGAAAATTTAAGACTCCAGGAAATAATTATTACAAAAGACTAATGGCCCACATGAACCACAGCATCTACAACCCTGAGACCAGAAAAACTCTAACATGTCAGACTACCACTACTAATTGCTCTGATCAAGACAATAGAAAGTTCCTGGACAGATGGGAGAAAAACGTAAAACAAAATTCAAAATTATAAACAAGACCAGACTTACTGGTATTAACTGGTATGAAAAAGACAGGTAGAACCCTTGGGACACCATTCAAACATGGAACTGAACCCACTCCCACAGATACCTTTCTGCCAAAAAAAAAAAAAAACTGACTATAAAGTGAACAATAGTATCTGTGAAGAAAGTACTCCTCAAAACAATCAATTCTATGACATGAAAAGGGCAGCATTTGCCCAAAAACCAAGTTCAGAAGGCAAGAAGAGTCAAGAAAGATGGGTGAATGGAAATGGAACACAGGGAAGGACTGTTATGGATGCAGTTGCTCAAAATTCCAACCAAAATGGAAGGATTCTTCATATCAAGGAACAAGCTAGTTTCTTCATGCACTGGGTTGATAGGGACTGGCAATCCAGACACTGGCTATCTAAAGTGGGAGGCTACAAAGGCATGAAGTGGTTGGCTTACAAGCTTTTGTGCGTGTGCTAAGTTTCAGAATAAGGTGGGTAAAGTAGAATCCCCACTGAATAATCTACCTCTTCTCCAGATGGATCTGGTGAAAGGGGATGGGGGATGATGCTGATAAGATTTTATGATTCAATTGTGAGTAAGTGTTAGCAGGAGTAATAGTGATTGTCACAAGTGTAATTATAGAAGATGCATAACTAAAAGGAGGGAGTAGTTAATCTTTCATTTCAGGAACAAATAATCCCAGGATCATCAAGATGGAAGAGCATGAGAGCCTACTCAGAAAAGCAGCTACAGTAGAGACAGTGACAGAGGCGATGGTATGGAGAGATTGAGAAGCTGTGGGCTCTAGGCCCATGGACTGAGTAAAGCTGTGTGCCTGAGAGTACAAGGCTGGCTTGCAAAATATGCCCTTAGGACATTTAAACAAATATATATTTTTTTGTATGTGTACATCAAATATTTCTACTTTGTTAATTTGTGAAGTAGAAGACGTAAAAGGGAAGCCACAGGGAAGAAGTAGGTTAACTATTGTTATAGGAGGCGATTGTAATCACTGAGATAAAACAAAGCGTATGTGTTAAATGTAAAGCTTATGATCTTGTCTGTTAACCTTCACTCAATTCACAATAAAAAGTTAAAATAAATAATGACAATATCACCTAAGCGAGTAATCGTAAGAATTAGATAAGATAAATATGAACTAATCAAAACATAGTAGGTTCTTAATCTTTTATTCCATTTCTACTCCTGGTGCGGCCCTGTGGGTTACTGCACTGGACTGCAAGGTTGGTGGTTCAAGCTCACCAATCGCTCCTTGGAAACTATATACAGAGTTGCTATGAGTTGGGATCAACTCTATGTTAAGGGAAAACAGTTTCCATCACAATGGCAATCAAAATTATTAATTAAACACACACTAATAGCTACAAAATTTTAGATGACTTCAAAAAGCAGTCACTTGGACAATGATGTGGAGAGATGGAGTGGCTGGGGACTCTGGACTCAGGGAGAGACAGAGGCTGTGTGCTGACGACCTAGGGGCAGGCTTGCGGGGTGTACCATTTGGTTGTTTGATGATGCATGGAGGGGAATGTAATCATGGCAATGAAATGATATACAATAGCATGAATGTAAAGCTAATGTTCTCCCATGTAAACTATCACACAATTCACACACACAAAACAGTCACTTGGAAATGGAGTCTTTAAGCTAAAGTCAAAAGGGCATGCACACACACACTGTGCACTATTTGATGATACTAGAATTGAGCAATTAAGTAAATGGATGGCAAATAATGAGAGACAGGTTTCTCACTATTGGTGACAGAATCTAACAATAACAAAGGGGAGAGGCCAGAATGACCCACCTGATAATGGGTTCAAGTTGAAGACATTAGTAAGAACTCAGAAAACATAGATGGTTACACATAGAAATATTTATAGATCTGTATATACACAGGTTAGTATACATACATATATGAGGAGTTTCAAAGAGTTTGTGGAAAAAATCATTATCTTTTCATTCAATTTTTCTTAAATATTTTTGAAGTCCCTTCATATTTCTTGCTCTGACAGAAGGCCTAAAATAAATGACATTTAGGGTGCAAATCTTGTCTTCTAATGCTATTTTCCAATAAAAGAGAAATAACCTTGGTAATTTTAGGACTAGGACAGGAAATATACAAGACGAGTCTGGAATATCTGCTAATGCCAGAAAGTAAAAAAGTACTCAAACAACCACCACCCCCTGCCCACAATGATGGGGTATGTCAACTGAAACAGTTAGTGCCCAGTGGCCAACTCTTGAAGAATTGGAGTAACAAAATAAAAATGTATTGAATTATACCCCAAAGTATAAACTTAAATGCCCATGAATTCATACTGATATAAATAACTGAATAAATAAATGGAGACGAAACAAATTTTCTGTTAAGAATAATTTCAATTAAATTTTGTATATAGTCTACTCTAAAGGAAGGGGAGCATAACTCCTCATGCCTTACGTGTGGACTGCACATAGGAACTCCTTTCCAGAGAGAACAGAGAGGGTGGGAAAGAATAACGTTACAGGAGTAATTTGAAAAAAAAAGTATTTTAGCCAGATGATGAACATCTGGCTAACATATCAAGGACACAGTGTGTACCCTCAATATGATGTGATTTAAATGATACACTTTTTGAATTCTGGTCAAATGAGAAAAACATAAGACAAATTCTAATAGAAGAATATCCTATACCTGATCAGTAGTATTCCTCAAGGAACATCTGAGAAACGATCTCAATAGAGCCACGTCTAAAGCAGAATGATAAATGTAATATGCTATCTGGATGGGATCCTGGGTAAAAACTAAAAAAGTCTGAGTGAACAGTGAACCTTAGTTGATAATAATGTATCAATATTGATTCATTAATTATAACAAATGTACCATAATAATGTAAGATATTGATAGTAAGAGAAACTGTGTACAAGATGAAGATGGGGGAAAAAAGTCATTAAGGAAGACTCATTAAGAGGTCCACATTCCCTGACAGTGCCTACTTTATTTTCCTAGACTCCTGGTGTGGTACTGTTGGTTAATGTGCTGGGCTGCAAAGTCCGCTTGAACCAGGAGGCCTGCGATTCAAGTTCATAAGCTGCTCCTCAGAAACCCTATACAGGGTCACTATGGGTCAGAGCCCGAATCGACGACACTTAACAACAATTTTATTTTCCTAATATAGAAGTTCCCGAAGAATGCCCTATAGATTAGTTCCTTAAAATGGTTAGTTGCCATTAAAAATTAATATTGTTATCAGGACTGATTGTGAGGGTTGGAAATGTAAAGGTAAGACATTTTGTAGCAAGGAGGGAAGTGATTAACTTTTTAGTCTAGGAGCGGAGGTCCCTGGGACCATCAAGGGAGAAGAGTGGAGAGCGGGACCCTACCCAGAGAAGCAGTGATGCCTGAGATGGAGGCAGAGACGATGATGTGGAGAGATGGAGCAGCTGGAGACTCTAGACACAGAGAGGGAGAGGGGCTGTGTGCTGACGATGAGGGGTGGGGGCAGGCTTGTAGTGTATACCTTTGGTTGGTTAATGATGCATGGAAGGGATTGTAACCATGGCAATGAAATGATATACGATAGGATGAATGCAAAACTAATGTTCTCCCATAATTCACAATAAAACATTTAAAAAAAATTAATAACATCTTAAAGTTGGAAAACAATGAGTTTCTTTGTTATAGGATTTATCAGAACATATGATATACTAATGCATACCTACTCTGTCTTTCCTTTTTATTTATTGATTTGGTCTAGATATCAAGTGTCCACTTTGACCATAAAGAATTCTCTTTATACTTAATAGAGCTACATTCCCAGTGTGAACAAAAGAGAACATGTACACTTGGAAAGAACAAGCTAAGAATTAGAAGATCAAATAGCCACCCAAATAAGTAATATACAGAGCAGCAATGATGCCACCTTACCTGGTTTCCAGAAAGAGGTGAGGTGAAGTGGTGACTATGAAGGTTTCTACCAGTGTTGACATGTGTCAACCGAATCGGTTGGCCACACTTGACAGGAGTTCCTCTTTCACACACTGTGGCTGTCTTCCCACGTATCCTCCAGTAACTGTTGCTGTCATCCACAGAGGTGACACCTGTCACTGACTGCTGGCCACTACCTGTAGTTAAAAAAAAAACAACAACAAAACAGTAATCTCAATCTGATCTTTCTCTTTCCTACAAATAATGTGTTCTGCAACAAAAACAGATAGGTCAAGTGTGGGGAGGAAATTGCATGTTTGGTAATATGCTTTCTTGGAAAACATGAAAATAACTATGAAAAGTATATGGGCTCAAGCATGGCAACAATTGTGAGGTTGACCCAGGACCAGGCAGTATTTTGTTCTGTTGTGCATAGGGTCGCTATGAGTTGGCACTGACTTGATGGCATCTAACAGCAACAAAATTATTATATAAATATGGGGTCCTGGTATGGCACTGTAGGATATGCACTGGACTACTAACCACAAGATAAGTGGTTAAAACCCCCCAGTTGCTCCTCGGAAACCCTGAGTCAGAACCAGCTCGATGACACTTAACAAAATTATTGCATGATATACTACACTTAAAGAGTATGTCATATAAAATTTTAAGAATTTACATTAAAGAGCACTTTGTTATTGCTAAGTTCTGCCAAGTTAATTGTGACTCATTGGTTTCCAAGGAGTAGAAGGTGGGTTTAAAGCACCAACCCTGTGGTCAGTTGTTGTTACGTGCCGTAGAGTCGATTCCAACTCACAGCTACCCAGGTACAGGGTTTCCGAGGCTGTACATCTTTATGGGAGCAGAAAGCCTCATCTTTCTCCCACGGAACAGCTGGTAGTTTCGAACTGCTGACCCTGAGGTTAGAAGCCCGATTGATACCCACTGTACTACGAGAGCTAGTCCAGTGCTTATCTTACAGCACCATACCAGTACTCCTAAAGAGCACTGTGGTGGTGTTGATGTGCCGTGGAGTTGGTTTTGTCTCATGGAGACCCTGTACAGGGTTTCTGAGGCTAGAAATCTTTACGTGAGCAGAAAGCCTCATCTTTCTCCCGCGGAACAGCTGGTAGTTTCGAACTGCTGACCTTGTGGTTCGCAGCCCGATTCGTAACCACTACACTACCAGAGCTCGTTCCTAAAGAGCACTAGACATATAAATATGTTTCTGAAGCACAGGCAGTGCTTACCTGTACATTCTAGCCTGGATTTCACATTTTACAGTCAACTTTTTGCTTAAATCACATTTCACAAAATGGGGTAATTCTTAGCCATCAACTTTAATCCATGCAGTCATTACAGCACCCAAACTCCTGTGAATGGTCTATCAATACATATTGTAAAAATATTCTTCACTTATCTAAATATGGCTAATGCTAAGCGGGAGAAAGATGAGGCGTTCTGCTCCCGTAAAGATTTACAGCCTCGGAAACCCTGTACAGGGTCGCTATGAGTCAGAACCAACTCAACGGCACTTAACAACAACAACAAAACCTTTAAGTGGTCCAATTCTGCAGGTTAAATAATTGCTAGATAGTTGCTTAGTGGGTATTAAGCACCTACATAGTGCCAGGTACTAAGCCAAGCCCTCTGCCTGAATGCTCTTTGATACAAACACCTACCCTGTGAGGTAGCTATTATTATTACTACCCCTATTTTATACTAGTGTTAGACTGAGTAGCATAGCCAAGGTCATGCAGCTCCAACAGATAGGGCTGGAGTTTGAACCTAAGCAGCCTGACTCAAACTCACACTCTTAACCAATCCACCACATGGCCTTCCATAAAGGTTATTATTCCTTCTCCTGTTTTATTTTCTATCAAGTTCCCTCCAAACAGGTGACTTTGATATAAACCTCAGAGAGATTCTTTTCCCTAGACCTCAGCTGCTACCCAATTCTTCAAAGGCACACCATATTTCCCATACACTTTCCTCAGATACTCCTGTCTGTTCCTCTTAGCTTTGCCTTTACTTCCATGGTCCTAATGGCCTTTTCATAGCACTTTACCTCTTAGCATTATATCTAATTACCTAGGTAAATGTTTGTAAGGAGCTCTGTTAGCATAGTGGTTACGAATCGGGCTGCAAACCACAAGGTCAGCAGTTCAAAACTACCAGCTGCTCCGTGGGAGAAAGATGAGGCATTCTGCTCCCATAAAGATTTCTAGCCTCGGAAACCCTGTATAGGGTCACTATGAGTCGGAACCGACTCCACGGCACACAGCCAGCCAGCCAGTTTAATATCTGTAGTCAAACTATCAGTTCCTCCCTACTGACTACTTCGACTCAACTCATAATGACTTTGTTAGCTGTTTTTAAAAAGAAAAAAGCAATCTAACTTTCTTCTCCTTACTTCTAGCTACTGCCTTACAAGTCTCATAGCCCTCACCGTAATGCTTTTACTAAACCATGTTCCATACTTTTTCTCCTTACTTCTAGCTACTGCCTTACAAGTCTCATAGCCCTCACCGTAATGCTTTTACTAAACCATGTTCCATACTTTTTCTCCTTACTTCTAGCTACTGCCTTACAAGTCTCATAGCCCTCACCGTAATGCTTTTACTAAAACCATGTTCCATACTTTTTGCTTCTACTTTTTCGCTTTCCCTTTACCCATCCACCATTTCTCGGCATAACCTAGAGTTCTATGAGGAATCTCAAACTGGTCCATCTTCAGGAATAAAGAAAAAAGGCCCAAGAAATTACTAACTGACCAAAGCACAAATTATTGGCTGATACAGCAACCACAGGAGCCCATGCACCTGAAGTATGTGTGAACAGTATAAACAAGGGAGACAAGGGGGAGGATCTGTTCAAAAAACAGAAACTTTAAAATAAGAATGCAACCATCAAAAGGAAGTATTATTCCAGGAAGATTATTCACCCCATAGTACTTAGCCAAAGAGGAACCAAGTGAGGGACTCTCGAGCTAGGAAATAAAAATACTTGTAAAACAGCCACACAGAGTGTTTGTTTGCTGGGTTTGGTGCCCAATTTTACAAAATTGACTATAAAGCCTCACTCTCACTAAAATGAGTACAGATTGGGAGTTTTTAAGCATTCATCAGTGATAACTCATTAGTGACCTCATATGGGATAGTGACCCTAGTTCTCCCTCTGGAGACCCATCAGGTTAAGGTCCTGGTTGTGAAGTGCTGTAGAGTCATTTCTGACCCATAGTGACCCTTATAGGGTTTCCAAGGAGCAGCTGGTGAGCTTGAACCACTGATCTTGCAATTCAAACAGCTCTGCAGTCTAGTGCATTAAACCACAGCACCACACCAGGACTCCCTATGGGTAAGGTCCTAGTTGGGGGTTTATATCGACCTGCCAATTACCAAGAGGAACCAAGGCAGTATCAAGGTATCAACAATGTTTCTTACAAATTCTATCCTGGGTCCTCATTCTTAAGCACTAAACACAGTAATTCTTAAACATTTGTTGGTATCAGAACAAAAGCATTTGTATTCTTAACAAGTTTCTCAAGTGATTCAAACTGACACTAGATTAAGAACCCATGACATTTCAACCACCAACTATATAATGATGTTGCATTTTCCTCTGTTACCTCAGGCTCAGCACAAATCTCAGATTGAAACTGGTTTCCAAATCAAGTACTGGAAGTATTTTTTAATCCTACAGATTCCTACTGCCAGGTTTTTCTCCACTCCCACTCTGACTCAGTAAATCCAAAATAAGAAACTAGATTAAATAAAAAAAGTAATAAAATGCCTGACACACAGTAGGTGTTCACTGAGTGGTTGACAGAATTAAGACATCCCAACAATGACAACTCAGTTCCTTTTCTAGTCTAACTGGTCTGACAGGTGTGGGGACTATGAACTACAAGGGAGCCAACCTTGAAAGGTACTCCTTCCATTCTCAGCTAATAGCATCATTAGTCACCAAAGGTAGAATCTAGCCATCAGCTTGATGCCTCTCACATCTCACTAGCTGAACAGCTTGTTTTTCTTGTATTTTGCTTAATTGGTTCCCTAAATGTATCTCTTGTATCCAGAAAAAACTAGGAATATGATGTTAATTGCTACTGAGTCTCATAGTGACCCTGTATAGGATTTCCAAGGAGTGACTAGTGGGTCTGAACTGTTCACCTTATGTGCAGTTAGCAGTTTAGTACTTACCCTACAGGACAATGAGAGCTTATTTAATCTATGCTAAATGAGTCGGAAGTGACTCCACTTACTTAACAACAACAACAAATAAATTCATACATAATTGATTACAATGCATTTTCATTCCATATGGTAAAATGCCCTCTAAACAGTTTCTTTTCCAATTCCTGTCACTGTTTCAGCTTAAGCTCATTACAAGACAGCAGGTAACCCACTACCATGGAATCGCTTCCTATTCATAGCTACCCTATAGGACAGAACTGCTCCAGAGGATTTGTGAGACTGGAAACGTTTATGGAAACAGACTGCATCTTTTCACCCACAGACAGACTGATGGGTTCAAACCACCCATCTTTTGGTTAGCAACTCAATATTTAACTAGAAAGAGGGTAGGGTGCCAATAAAAAAGGGGCCATCGGATAGCTGAAGTTCAAACCTAAGATACAAAGGGACTGAAAGGCCAGAACGTGGACTCTTGTTCAGAACTTCATAGATACAGCACTTATTTAATTGTTTGTATATCTTTATCTCCTGCACTGAGTACCACCATGAAAACATGCTTTAGAAGTGGATAGATTTGGACTGAATCCTGTCTCTGTCATTCACTAGCTGTGTGCAAGAAATTCAATCTAAGTGCTTCTTCATCAGTAAAATGAGGATAACCATAATATCTAACTCATAGGGATGTTAAAGATCAAAAAAAGTACTTATGTAACCTGCCTAGCATACGAATACAGCTCACAACAAAGAAGCTGGTATGATGACAATACTTAAAGGCAGTCCGATGGTCCCGACCTTCCTCTGGACCTTAGGAGCCTCCTCCAGACACCCTTTACCCACCCAGACCACACCCCTTAGATTTTCTGTAAGACCCGCCTCCTCCGGAGCCTACTAGGCCCCCCGAGCCTACTAGAACCCGGTCCCCTACAGTACCTGACCCATAGCGCACGTCATGTGAGTGCAGCCGGACGTTGTGGCGCGTATTGAGTAGCTTGACCACAGAACCACATGTAACTACAGCCAGATCAGACGATCTCACAGCGCCCCACAAACCCCCGAACAACAGTAGCTGTACCACAGTCATCCTGCTTAGAAGATCTTGATTCCTAATCTTCGAAGAAAACCCGGCCCCTACCCCGGAACCGGAAGCTGGTAGAGGAACGGCAAAACAGAGGAAGTAAAGAAGCCCAAGTTCTGGACTTTATGGTTCCTTTAGCTAGAGTGGACCGAGGAATAGGCTGGGCCTGATTGCTTCCGATCCCCTTGCTCCGCTCTGAGACTTTGATTACTGTCTTCCTGAACTGTTTCAGCCAACTTTCGCTTCCCCGGACGAAAGCCGCAAGAACCAGGTGAGAGAAGAAAGCAAGGAATGAACCGCCCACACCCAGTGACAGGGGACAGGAAGTGACGTAGCACGTTGACGCGGCTGAGGGGCCGTGCGGTGGGTCCGTACTATCCTTTCCCAGTCTCGGTTCGACGACTCCATTTTCCTCCGTGGAGGTTACCGCACCAGAGAAGGTGACGGATTCTGGCAGGTAAAGCTCTGACGAGAGTTCTGTCCCCTCGCATGGGTTGAGATTGGATACCGGGATCCTAGGGTCTGGTCCGGGAAGGGAAGAGGCATTGGGAAGCCATATGCGAGAAGAAGAGGGGCCCTGGCCTTCCCTGTTCTTTGCGGGGGGAGGGAAAGCGGCGTAGTTACGCAGTCTCAAAGGTTTTCCCAGCCGGATAGCGTTGGAAACTTGAAAATTGGATCAACAGGCTTTCTGGAATCGCATCCTTCTCTCTAGAGCTTCGGAAAACTAGGCCACGCAGAAGGATTGGGAATGGAAGGGAACTGAGGCTTCTGAGCCGCGATCAGGTAATCGAATTGTTTGCCTTGGGGATGTGAATCCCACGGAGCTTTCAGCAACTCGTCCATTAAGCTAGAAGATGATGCCAAATTTCAGCTCTTTTCCTGTTTGATAGTTAAACTAGAACTTCTTGGTTACCTACCTGCATCCTTCAGCAGTTTTTAAAGACCAGAAATGCTCTAGAAGTGCCTGAAGCCCGTCGATTCCCTATTTTATTTCCTGAGACTTTTGCTAGTCGCCTCTATTCTTAATCAGAATGAGCTGTTGAGTCAGAACTTTAACACCTTCTAATTTTTGCCTTTTCCAATCATGTTCAATTCTGCTGGAGCAGTTTGTCTGGGTTGTAGCAAGAGCTGATACTTAGTTTTCTTTTGGGAAGGCCTCATCTCTGAAAATGCTTCATGGAAATTCAGTATATCAGAGGTGGTTGTTAAGTGCCATGGAGTCGCTTCCAACTCTAGCGACCCTGTATAGGGTTTCGATGTAGCAGCTCGTGGGGTTTGAACTACCGATCTTGTGGTTGAGTGCTTATTCCTACAGCACTACACCAGGACTTTAGTAACAGCAACAAGGTAGTATTAGGAGGTTTGGTTTGGCGCTGTAGAATAAGCACTAGCCAGCTAACTACAAGGTAAGCGGTTCAAATCTACCAGCTGCTCTTTGGAAACCTTTTACAGGGTCACTGTAAGTCAGAACCGACTCCACAGTACTTAACAACAAGGTAGTATTAAGCTACACCTCGACTATTAATGAACACAGAGAATGTAAACAATATGTTATTGTTATGTGCCATGGAGTTGGTTCCGACTCATAATGACCCTGTACAGGGTTTCCAAGGCTGTAAATCTTTACGGGAGCAGAAAGCTTCATCTTCCTCTCGCAGAACAGCAGGTAGTTTCAAACTGCTGATTCTGAGGATAGGAGCTGGATTTGTAACCACTACCTACCAGAGCTCATGTAAACAATATGTTCTTAAGTGCCATCAAGTTGGTTCCAACCCACAGTGACCCTACACAGGATTTCTGAGGCAGTAAATCTGTGGGAGCAGAAAGCCTCATCTTTCTCCGCGGAGTGGCTGGTAATTTCAAACTACTGACCTTGCTGTTCGCAGCCCAATTCGTTACCACTAGGCTACCAGAGCTCCTTGTAAACATTTTAGTATCTGGTTAATTTCTTCAGGAAAGTTGTAGTGTCTGAGTCTTGAGTATATTGATTGCAAAAGCATGATTGTTTTCCCTTCAGCTATAAACAGATTCCTTTTCCATGGAGTTCCCAAGGTGGTGCATGTGGTTGACTGCTCAGCTGCTAATCAAAAGGTTGGAGTTTCAAGTCCTCCCAGAGGTGCCTCAGATGAAAAGCCTGGCAATCTACTTCGGAAAAATCAGCCATTAAAACTTGACAGTTCTGCTCAGACAACATGGGGACAGCAACTGTTTGGTTTTTTCCATGACTTGTGTCCCTTCAACCAATATATGTTTTATGAAGTTGGCTTGAATGGTTACTAGACTGAATAGCATAGTATTACTAGTTCTTAATTTATGACTCTACAGTAAGCAGTGAACTACTAACCACAAGGTCAACAGTTTGAGTCCACCAGCCACTGTGTAAGAGAAAGATGAGGCTTTTTGCTCTTGCAAAGATGTACAGCATCAGAATCCCCATACAGGATCACTATGAGTCAGACCAACTTTTGACAACATCATGAAAAGATGAATCACATCAGGAAGTGGTGAAAACTAGAGATACTCAGCCACATTTTCTAGGTCTTCTGGAGGCTTCCTTTACAAGAAAGGAAGCCTACCTAGTATGATGGAAATGTGATCTTTGGAAGCAAATAAATTTGCTTTTACTCCTCTGCTCTTGATTGATTCTTTGGCTTCCTTTTCCATTATTCCCCAAATACAATCATGTTGATTTTTATACCTTTTAAATAGGTGTTCCTATCAGCACACTGATTATATATATTCTCTTATTTCTCACATCCCTTTCCAACTACCATCCCACTTATTAAATTTCCCATCGTTACTAAATTTTTTGACCTGTGCCAACTCAACTTTTCACACCAATTCACTCCTTAGGGTGCTGTACTCTGGCTTCTCTTCTGAAATTGTTTTGTCAGCATCACCAGTTGCCAAATCCAATGAATACTTTATTCTCATATTCTTTAGTCTATAAATATTTGATACAGTAATTCTTCTTGAAACTCTCCTCTCTTGGCTCATTAACACGGCATTCATTCCTGGACATTCTTCATTTCTGTGGCTCCTTAACACATTTGCTCTTTACTTTATGTTTAAATGTTGAAGAATTCTGAATTCTTTTCTCTGTATATATTGTTTAGGTGATCCAACCTCATGACCATGGTTAAGATCTAATAAATAGCAGACAACTCCCAAATTCAAATCTCTAGCCCAGCCCTTTCTCTTCTGTGTTCCAGAACCGTATATCAAAATGCCTTCTTAACATTTGATTCATTTAGATGTCTTTTAGACACTCCAAAGCTGATATAAACCTATTGCTGTTGAGCTGATTTTGACTCGTGGTACCTGGAATCTGATACACATCTAAGTGGGACTCACATCCACATGGTACCCAAACCAGACCTTTGGGAATCATCTATGATCTTCTCCCTTACAATTCCTCCTCCCAACCCCCAGGTTTTTCAAGAAGTCCTATCATTTCTACCTCCAGATCTGTTTCCCAGTCTCCTCCACTACTGCCATCCTACTGCATGCCACCATCTTTTGTTTATGCTACCACAGTGGCATCCTCAGTCTACTCAGATCCCTTCCAGCCTACATTCCAAGCAGCCAGAATCATGTCAGGTCAGATCATGTCATTGTCCTGCCTAAAACCAGTGACTTTCTATGGTTTTTCATAGCCTTCCCAGCTCTACTTGAACAGGCTCTCCCTTCTCTTTCAGTCCTCATTCATCATACTCTAGTCACCTAAGCCTTAGGATGTCACCAACAGTATGCCAAGTTCTAGCTTTTTCTGGTTCCATATGCCATAACCTACCCATTTTTCACATCTTAGCCTAAAGTCACACTCTCTGAGGTGCCCACCCCATCTAATTGTGTGCCGTCAAGTCGGTTCTGACTCATAGTGACCCCATATAGAGTTTCTGAGGATCACCTGGTGGTTTTGAACATTTGCTTTCTCTGTAGCTCTTGTAGTAAGGTTTATTTTATTTGTGGTTTGTCTTCTGTATCAGGTGAGTATCCTAGAGGCAGGGATCACATGCCCGGCATGTAGTAACCAGTTGCTATTGAGTTGGTTCTAACTCATGGCAACCCCACCATGTATGTAGGACTTTGCTCAATAGGGCTTTCAGTGGCTGATTTTTTGGAAGTAGATTGCCAAGCATTTCTTCTGAGGTACCTTTGGGTAGACTCAAACTTCCAAACTTGGTTAGCAGCCAAGTACATTAACTGTTTGCACCACTCAGAGAGTCCTATTGTTGTTTTAAGTGCCGTTGAGTCAGTTCTGACCCATAGCGACCCTGTATAGGGTTTCTGAGGAGCAGCTGCTTAGTTTGAACTGCCACTGCAGTTCAAATCAACTTTCCAGTCCAGCGCATTAACCCATAGCACCACACAAGAAGTCCAGAGAGGCATATGTTGTTGTTGTTAAGTGCTGGCAAGTCAGTTCCGACCCATAGCGACCCTGTATAGGGCTTCCAAGGAGCTGCTGGTGAGCTTGAACCACTAATTGTGGTTCAAACAGCTTTGCAGTCCAGCACATTAGCCCATAGCGCCACACCAGTACTCCGAGAGGTATGTGTTGTTGTAAAGTGCAATCGAGTTGACTCCGGCCCATAGCGACCCTATAAGGATTTCCACGGAGCAGCTGGTGAGCTTGAACCGCCAACCTTGCAGTTCAAACAGCTTTACAGTCTGATGCATTAACCCACAGCACCACACCAGGTGGTTATAAAATATTTATGGACTTAGCAAGTACTTAAGTCTCTTCTCTGATTAAACCCTACAGTGGCTTCCCAGCACCTTTTGGATAGAATCCTAAATCCCCACAAAGTTCATATAGTTTCATTTATGACCCATGAGCCAGTCTTCCTCTCCAAAACTGGGCCTTCCTCTTTCTGCCACAGCATATGGTGGTCTTAATGTTGGAGAAGAATGCTTCCAGCACCACCCCACCCCCACCCCGCCAGCTCTCAGGAAACCAGCTCTTTTATTTTCTCACTCTTTAGGTTTTTGTTTAAAGTCACTTT